CGAGCCCTAGCCCTAGACTCTATATAAGGGCAGCCAGGGCACCCTTCTAAGGGGACGGGTTCTCGAGACTTCATTCGGGCAGTCTCTCTCCACTCTCCTACCTCTTCCACTCTTCTTGCATACCCCATTGTAAGAACCTTAGAGCATTCAACCGAGGAACACGCACTCGATCTTTCTCTGAGACAGGACGTAGGTCTCCGGCCTAAACCAGTATAAATCCTTGTGTCTTTGGATTCTACCATCGTCTTCCTGGAGCAGTGCGACATTCATATAAATTCACTCGTTGGGTGACAAAACACCGACACGAAGGAAATGGACAATAGTACCAAATAAGGAAGGAAATTTCAACTCGGTGGTAGATAAGGAACTTCGATTTGGAGAGTGCCTTGGAAGGAAGGCTGATTTTTCAGTACCAAATAGATAATTCTCTCCTTTGGTCCATCTAGGATCCTTGCAGCTAGCTGAAAAGAGGGCGTATTAGTGAATATCCTTGTGTTGTCACCTTGATTTGTATGTTGACTCACTGATGCCACTCTCACATGTAGAGAGCCTAGCCGCGAATGGATGTGCTGGTACATGGCGCGCCTACCGGTGATGACAGCTCTCAATATCCCCACATGAAGTTGCTTGTGAAAGTAGTTGTCTTTCAGAAAACATATAGACAGACGCACATCAAGAAGGAAGAAAAGAGCGAAAAAGAACAAACATTAACACTCAGCCAAAAAAGAGTGCCAAGCAAGATTTGAACTTTTGAGACCTCTCTACTTGGAGGCAAGTGACATACCACTAAATTATGAAGTTTTTGTGAAAATACTTGTCATTCACTAAATATATAGAGTATCACATCAAGAAGGAAGAAAAGAACGAGAAAGAATAAAAATTAACGCTCAGCCAAAAAATACAAAAAAAAACAATTGTGAAGTTTTTTTGTAAAAATAGTTGTCATTCATCACTAAATATATACAGAGTCGCACATCAAGAAGGAAGAAAAGAACGAAAAGATTAGAAACTTCAGACCTCTCTACTCAAAGGGAACTGACATACCACTAGACTATGAAGTTGTTTGTGAATGTAGTAATCGTTCAGTAAATATTTACAGAGTCACACATGAATTGAAGAAGGAAGAAAAGAACAGAAAAGAACAAAGACAAAGCACTATAGAAGTAAGAATACCGCTGCAAGTTCTAGTGTGTATGATTGCACTTTACTCTTCAATATATGCAAATTTGCACAACTAGGAGGTGAAGCCTGGCGTGCCATCCACTAGCAGAGCCACACATAACAATAGCTGGCAGCGACCTTGACCCGTTCGGTATATGTTGCCATGTAGGTTTGTAGAAATTTCTGACCATATGACAACATGTTCTCGTTGTATAATCTTTACAAAAAAATTTAATTCATTTTAACAAAGCAGTACTACACATTACTCATAAATGGATACATCTCACGTGTGTGTGTGTATATATATATATATATATATATATATTTATATAGGGTAAGGCTATTATGGCTATACAATAACTTATTCTATAGCCACCTTAATTTATGATAATGTTTGTACTAATTTACGATAACATAAATATGCATTTACGACGTGTTACTACAACTCACGGTAATATTTACCATAATATTATAGTAAATCACTTACTAAGGAGTTACTGTAGTCTCGTAAATTAGCATAGTAATTATCGTAACTCAAAGTGGCCACAGAATAAGTTATTCTATGGCCAGCTGCAGAACGGTAGTTCTATATATATATATATATATATATATATGAGGGATGTACCTATTTGTGAACAATGTATAATTCCACTCTACTAAAACAAAACGAATTTTTATTGGAAAGCTTATGGGCCCAAAATATGTTATCATTGATGTCTCATTCCCATTGTCAATCCTGCAGGAGTTGGCACGACTTCTAGAGCTCTCAGTGATAAAATGGAAGAACTTATTTCTATGCTGTCTGGTGCACAACATTGGAATCAGGTAAACAAAACCAACATTTTCTTTGTTTCGTTGCCACCTGTTTGACATTTGAGACATTTATTCTTGACAAGCTTTCCTTTGCAATATGACTCATTACTTTGACAATGTAGTAGATTAATATGATCTTAGGGACATTTTCCCTTTTGTGAAAGATCTGTCATTCCATTTTTCTAAAAATAATCCTTGTTTAACCTGAAGCAAATATGGCTATTTATTTTTGTGAAAGTTATAGCATCAAATCTTCAATTAATATATTTGTGCTTTGATGCTTATACTTTATCAACCAGCCAATGCTTCGAGAGCATCTCGATGACAAAATCGTTTGGTTTTATACTACGTATTGTGTAGTTGTTGAATTAGTCGAGCAACAAATCCTCATAGCTTGAACAGGGAGTTTGGGTGTGTCCGCTTTGTTCTTTTATATAATATATTTAAGAAATCATGTAGATCCCTTGACTTCCTTGACTAACATATATTTGTTTTTACCATTTATTAAAGATCAAAGCTTAAAGAGCACTTGCAATGCATGCATCACCATCAATAACCGCTAGAAGAAATATTCACCATGAAAGATTAAAACAACCGATGTGCCTATATCACATTACTACTATTTGATTGAGTAATACAAAATTTGTGCTATAATGAGTTGGGAACATTGAAGTATCCAGTGGGCCTAAATATTGTTTGTGATTACCCAATAATTTAAGAGATAACTCATGTTGAATTTTCTTCTATTAAGAAAGCAACAAAATTAACAAATTAATGTTGAAGATGGTTCCTACACAATGATATAATCATATAGATTTAGTTACTGATGCATATGCCATGTGAATGATTTTACTCAGGATGAAGACACAATTTGAATGGTGCAGCACGATGGGATGCTCATTTCAAGCTTCAACAATGTCCGGCCAAGCTTCAATGCACTGTTAGCTAGAGTTTGAGTGGAGTTCACAAGTGATGGGATAATCAATGTCAAGTCAAGGTTTGCTGCAGTGGTACAAACACGTGTGTTGAATACCTCATGGGTTTGAGCAATGCGTGTCTATGCCGAGTTTTGTATGGGATTTTTCATTAAAGATGTGTACAAACAAATCCTATTCTAGGTTAATGGCTTTGTTTAAATGCTTTATTGTCCATATATTGTTGTTCTGAAAAATTAATGGTCTGGCAATATTGTCTGATGCTAGTAAACAAAGCATTGTAATAGAGACTATCGGTATTATCATTCGGTGTAGCAACAAAACATATAGCAATGAAATAGAACATATAGCAATGATACAGTGGATGTGGTAATAGATGCTTTAACACATAGCAACCAAATACTTACTGTGGCAACATAGGGCTCCACCTATAGCAACCAAACATTGATCATCACAATAGAGGATTCAACCTATCGCAACCAAACATTGATCGTGGCAATTGAGGGTCCACCTATAGCTACCAAACATTTAGTGAGGCAATAGATGGTTCCACCTATAGCAACCAAATATTTAGTGTGGCAATAGAGGGTCCACCTATAGCAACCAAACATTTAGCATGGCAATGGAGGGTTCCACCTATAGCAACCAAACAACGAGTGTGGCAATAGAGGGTTGCACCTATTGCCATGCTTTTGATGCGTGGCAATTTAGTCTATTGCAACACCCATTTTTGTTGCTATTACACCTATTGCTACTCTTTGGGTATGTTGCAATAGGTACCTCCGGCAACGCTAGATGCATTGCAATAGTTACTATTACCACGAACATGGTGGCTCTCTAAACTATGACTTACAACACTTCATTGTGTTGCATCCAAAAACAAACCGTGGTGCAAATGTTAAACCAAAGTCGCAATGGTAACGCCTCCCAAGGTGGATGAAGAAGCCTGCCTGGCCAGCCTTGGTCGAGTAGCATAGGAGGCCAGTGGTGGCGGCAACGACGATGGGGACGGGGTGGAGCCACGGATCTGGGGCTCTCCATGGCTCAACACGGGACTGTCCGCAAAGTGGTGTTCTTTCGTGTGGCTACTGTTGCGGCATTTGGTGTCGGGGATGGTGTCGGGCTGGCGCTGGGTTGGGCTAGTTTCTGACAGCCGATGGTGGAAGTATTTGATTCTTAGGGTTAGTGATTGAAGAGCCGAGCCTAGGGAGATGGAATTGACCAAGTGGAGCCGAGGACAGAGTAGCTTGCTTGCTGCGTTCCCTGCTAGCAAAAAGCTACACGCATATGGGGACCACACCAAAAAGCAACCAATCCGAGCCTGTGAAATAAGCCCCACGGCCGCATACAAAACTAAGATTTTCTCTCTCCAGCTGAGTGCCCATCCACTGATATATTTTGGGTCCGTGGGCTAATCTAAGATGCGGTTTTCCTAGACATGCCACAAATATTCTCTACTAACTACAGACGCATCATAACACATTTTATTGAATGGAACCGCGTCTCTAACATGCGAGTTCCATGAGATATTTTGTTGAACCAACACATCACAGACATTTCAACTTGGCCCGTCTCTGATTTCAGTAGAGACACCTTTTGTCTTGGAGTCTCTATTTGGGTCCCCATTTTTGTTTTGACACTATGCTTCATCGTTCCGGTACAGCAATAAAAAAAATCAATCAATCAGAATTCAGAGACCAATGCAAGATTCGGCATCTGTAATGGGTAATCCATAGACTTCAACTTCAATAACAATCTGCTGGCGAGACGGGATAGGTAAAATTACATGTACACACCACACCAGACAAGCACCCGTCCAATCCTATATCTCCGGTAGTACCACTACCGCTGCTGCTAGATATAGACAGTGCTCGTCATGGGACACATTATTACACATACACGTGCAGACACACACGTAAACATGGATATACATAACACTAAAGGTACAATTGTGACGTCGATTATGTCTCCGACTTAGGCTGAGGAGTAAGCTTTATTATCTGGTGCAAGGCCACCATCACAGCCATCATATCATAGTGCAAATAGGTACTTGGTGAATGCAGGAAGTAGCCTCCTTGCATTATCGGTTTATCACTGGAGGTTGCGCCTGCAAGAATGGAGAAATTAAAAGAAAACCATGAGTTCCCCGTTATCGGAAATGGAATAGAGATGCAGGATCAGGAGTACCAAATATTTGAAACCAAAAATTGAATTGCAAGCAGTTGTTTGGATATTCTGCTTGAAGGAATAATGGAGATGTTCCGACAATAGGGAAAGACTCTCTCCTACCAAGATGTTTATTGGCAATAATAGAAGGATCTTGGTAGAGCAAAAAGTGAAATGGCTTTTATCCGTATTCAAGGGAACAAAGGGATTAACTGTTAGGGAGGATGTCGCTTTGTGCTCGACGATAGGACAGGTGGCTTTAAGGGACCGTGTGGGGTCCTGTTGTACTCAAATCATCAGGGAAGAGCTTCTATCCCTCCACATGCTAATGCTAACTATAGATATGTAAATAGCAGTCCATATTATTAGCTGCCCTAGTGCTGCAACACGCAATTTGACCATGCTTTAAAATTTTCGTTCATTATCATCAAGGGTATGTTTCACCAAAAATACTTCCTCTATCCCAAATTATAAGTCATTCCAAGGATATGAGCCTGATAAGAAAAAATGTTGAATTACAAAGGATATGAGATTGCTAGAGCAGTACAAAAAGAATCCGCATCTTTGAATTCGGGTGTAAAAGCACAATCAGCGCCCCAAGCGGCAAAGGAAAGAGCATAAGTTCGCTTATACAAAAGATAATGCATGACCATTGATTTTGTGAATGACCTCCATCCTTTTAAGTGAGGTGGACATCGTAAAGCATCTGTACTATTTTTTTTTTTTTTGTGCGCAAGTAAAGAAGCTAACTTCTCCTGTAGTGATTTGCATATATATAACTAGGAACATCATAAAACATGATCTCATCCCCATGTAAAGAAGCTAGCTAGCCATGTTCTTCTGAAGCAAAAAAAAAGTGTAGAAATCATTTATTCTTACATACTGGGAAGAACTTTTCATTTTTTTTTAAAAAAAAGGACAAACTTATATATACTAGGAACAAGTCAATTTGGAAACATAATTTTTCTTCCCCATAAGTACAGCATAGCGAATACCATCTAGGACCTCACTCCTGTCCTACAGGGAATTTCTAAATTAACGAATGGTTAAAGCTACAAGCGGGGGCTTTTGGTCAGTGAGTCAGTGACTTATGAGTAAGGTTGGTGTTCATAGCTTGTGTATTTAACTTTACACACACACACATATAGGGCAAGGAGCAATGACAAAACTACATGTTAAGGGAGCTAGCACAACTAACTTGTATATAGAAGTAGAAGAAAACATTACTTCATTTACTGCCGTGGAGCAGAACAAAAACAGGACAGTAAAGTGCAAAGAGAGAAATACATTCTAAGGGAGCAAAACCTTCCACGACAAGTAATAAACCCCCGGTAGCATAACTGAGTAGAGAGGTAAGAATATAGACTAACTACCTCTGCTCAATGCCGCTTCCACTGCTGCTGCCGCCGTCATACTGTGAATTCTGACCGCCTGTGGATTCAATGTGGTCCACGTCTCGAACCAGCTCCTTGAACTGCCTCTTCATGTCATCGATCGTCTTTCCGTCGCCCACTGCCTGAACCACGTTTTGCCAGTAGTCCGGCTTGTCTTTATCATACTTGGCTAGTGCCTTCTCAAACAGCCTGTTCTGCCTATCCGTCCATGATGACGAACTCATGGTTAGATTAAGAAAGGGTAAGGTGATATGCTACAAATATTACTAGTGCGTAGCTATATATAAGATCCCTGTCTACCTTGTGTTTCTATGCTATGAAGGTGGGCAACAATGGTTCTCTTATATAGGCAGGGGAGAACTGGAGAAGCTAGTTGGGGAATAATGCTTGGGAATTGTGAAGATGGCAAGGAGGTGTGTCAGTGGGAGAATACATATGACAGGTCTTCATAGGAGCCGCAAGAAGAAACATAGAGGACATTACTTTGGATGGTATGAGCTTATAGGGAGGAATCAGTGTCACCTGAAGATTGCTGGTGGGGAGGGGACGAGAGGGCCCTTCAATCACTTTTTTCATCTCCCTGTTTTTCTGAGGGACCATTTGGTTCCTTTTCTCATTGGCAAGTCTCGATCTCGCTAGTAATTACTATGATCAGTAATTACCGTAGGGCAGCATCGGCCAAATATGCCTAAATCAATAGATGAACACTGCAGAAATGACAAAAGTGCTTTACAAGATCATTAAGTTCTTAAGGTACCTATTATCCTAGGCTAAATATACCTAAAAAGTTATTTGAACAATACCCAAATAGAAAACTACATCTCTTGGTTTCATGGACCTCGAAGTTAGACAGCTACTATATCAAGGGCGTCAGCGCCTAGGGACGCCGGACCGCGACTACGTAACTCATAGTCGAGCTCCAGGCTCACCGCGAGGTTTTACCCCTCCGCGGGTGGCTTGTTTAGAGTAGGAGAAGGATAGATTAAATGGGTAATGTCTTTTTCCCTTATTCATTGTCCACGTACATGGCTAAATAGGCCTTGAGCCTAACAACTAGGAGCTAATTACTCCTCAATCTTAGGAACTAATTTGATCTCTCTTTCTATTTCTAGCCGCTGATTGAAACAGCCTGCTCCACATGGCCTGAGGCCGACGGCTGTGAGCCAGCCGCCCGTTTAGTAGCGCGACGGACGTCTCGGGCGCGCCGTTTCCTAGAATAGGAGTGGCCCCACATGACATCTCTCCCCCCCCCCCTCGACGAGCAGCTCGTCCTCGAGCTGGAATGCTGGATGCTTGTCGCGGAAGGAGTCCAAATCTTCCCATGTAGCCGAGGCAGCAGGTTCGCCCTTCCACTAGATGAGCACTTGACGCACCCCATGGGCCAGTCGAGCGCGCACTACGCGTTCTGGCTCTGGCTCCACTGCACCATTGTGAATGACCGGCAGAGGAGGTGGTGCAGCTGGCGGCTCGCCCACCCACTTCTTGAGGAGGCCGACGTGCAAGACATCATGAAGCTTGGCGCATGGAGGAAGAGTGAGGCGGACGGCCACCTCGTTGATGAGCTCGGTGACGCGGTAGGGCCCAAAGAAGAGAGGATGTAGCTTCCCTTTGGGCGCCTGGGACAGAGACGCGACTGGGCGATGGCAAAGGTGGAGTAGGACCCAGTCACCGACAACGTAGGAGACGTGACGGTGTTGCTTGTCGTAGTGGAGCTTCTGCACAGCTTGGGCTTGCTCCAGCCGGTACCGGACATCCGCCAGGAACTCCTCGTGCTCGGCCATTGTCTTGGCCACAGCAGCCACTCGCGTGTCCCCCGGCTCATAAGACCGGATGGTAGGAGGGTCGCGGCCATAGACCATTTGGAACGGCGTGTCTCGTAGTGACGTCTGGTACGCCGTGTTGTAGGTGTACTCGGCCCACGGCAGCCAACGAAGCCACTGGCGAGGACGGTCGCCGGTGAAGCAGCGAAGGTACATGGAGATGACGCAGTTGGCCGCCTCCGTTTAGCCATCTGACTGTGGGTGGAACGCCGATGTCATGTGCAGCTTGGTACCCATGAGCCGCATCAGCTCCTTCCAGAACACAGAGGTGAACACCGGGTCGTGGTCGGACACTATGGACTGCGGCATCCCATGAAGGCGCATGATGTCGGTGAAGAACGCCTGAGCCACAGATTCCGCCGAGTACGGGTGGGCGAGGGGGATGAAATGGCAATACTTGCTGAAGCGATCCACCACCGTTAAGATGACGGACTTTCCTCGTACACGCGGCAGCGCCTCCACAAAGTCCAGCCCGATGTCCGCCCAGATCGCCATCGGAACTGGTAGGGGAAGCAGCAACCCTGCGGGGTGAAGATGTTCTGATTTGTACCGCTGGCACGTGGCGCACGCACGCACGAAATCCTCGACGATGCGTTGCATGTCGGGGAAGTGGAAGTCCCGGCGAAGGCGATGCAAGGTGCGCTGCACCCCCTCGTGGCCGTCCTCGTGCACCACAGCTAGGAGCTCGCCCAGGAGAGGCGACGCTGGTGGCACATACAGTCGGCCATCATATGTCACCAAGTCGTCAGTGAGAGCCCACGGCGCTCCGCGTGAACCTACAGTAAGCTCATCCCGGAGGGTGACTAAGGCAGGGTCAGTGGCCTGAGCCTGACGTAGGCGGTCGATGTAGTCGAAGTGCGGAGCGGAGATAGCGAGAACGGTGTCATCATCTGTGTCATGGCGGGAGAGAGCGTCTGCCACCATGTTCAGTGCACCGGGCTTGTATTCCACCATGAAGTCGAACCCGAGCAGCTTCCCGACCCAGTGGTGTTGCGGGATCATGGCGAGGCGCTGGTCAAGGAGGAACTTCAAGCTCTAGTGGTCCGTACGCATGGTGAAGTGACGTCCCCACAGGTACAGCCGCTAGTGTCTAATGGCGTGGACGAGACCGATGAGCTCTCGCTCGTACGTGGCGAGGGAGCGATGTCGTGGGGCCACCGGTCGACTGAAGTAAGCGATGAGGTGCTTGTCCTGGATCAGCATAGCCCCGAAGCCGTGGGTGGACGCGTCGCACTCGATGACGAACGGCCGTGTGAAGTCCGATAGCGCCAGGACCGGCGCCGAGGTGACCGCGGCTTTGAGGGCCTGGAAAGCCGCGGCGGCATCGTCATTCCAGGTGAAGTCGTCCTTCTTGAGCAACGCCGTAAGTGGGGCCGTGATGGCGCCGTAGTCGTGGACGAACTTGCGGTAATAGCCCACATGGCCCAAGAACCCCCGCACTGCTCGATCCGAATGGGGTTGGGGCCAGTCGGAGACCGCCTGCACCTTGGCGGGATCCATGGCGACGCCGGCGTCGGAGATGACATGCCCCAGGTAGGCAATGGAGCGCTCACCGAAAGCGCATTTGGAGCGCTCGACGAAAAGTCAGTGCTGCTGTAGGACGATGAAGATGGCCCACAGATGGCATAGGTGATCGGCCCACGATGCACTGTAGATCAAAATGCATCAAAAATACCAGTACGAAGCGCCAAAGGAAGGGCCGCAGCACGTCGTTCATTAGAGCCTAGAATGTTGCCGAGGCGTTGCACAACCCGAACGGCATGACCAGGAACTCATATAGGCCATCATGGGTGTGGAACACCGTCTTAGCGATGTCGTCGGCGCGCATGCGGACCTAATGATAGCCCGAGCGAAGGTCGAGCTTGGTAAAGAACTTGGCGCCATGGAGCTCGTCTAGCAGCTCATCGGCGACGGGAATGGGGAAGGCGTCCTTGACGGTGATGGCGTTCAGAGCACGGTAGTCGACGTAGAACCGCCATGAGCCGTCAACTTTCTTGACAAGGAGGATGGGCGAAGAGAATGCCGAGGAGCTCTGACGAATGAGGCCTTGGTGCAGCATCACGGCGCACTAGCGTTCCAGCTCATCCTTGTGTGTCGCCGGGTAGCGGTAGGGGTGCACCGCGACTGGCTATGAACCCAGGACAAGAGTGATGCCGTGGTCTCGGGATTGGATCAGCGGCAGGCCATGCGGCTCAGCGAAGATGTCATCAAAGGACATGAGCAGCTTGGCCAGTAGAGTCGTTGTGGTAGTGGTGGTGCGGACGGCGGGCGCCTCGGGCCCGGGGACCCCCTGCCAGCAGACGGACTGGCCCTGCTGCTGGAACATCATGGTTCGGGTGCCAAAATCCCATAGGACAGGGCCCAGCGTTGCCAGCCACTATGTGCCCAACACCATGTCATAACTTGCAAGCGGCATGACAAAAAGATCGGCGTGGAAGAGGTCGCCGTGGATGGTGACTGCGGCCTGGCGGATGACGCCGATGCAAGACACACGTTCACCGTTCGCACTGTAGCCGTGAGTCGAGGACGGCGTTGGAGGGGTAGACCGGTGCGTTGCGCCGCGGACTCGGAGATGAAGTTGTGACTAGACCCCGAGTCTAGAAGCGCGATGAGTGAGGTACCGCCGAGGTCAACGCCGAGCTACATGGTGTCGGTGAAGCGGACGCCCACGATGGCATGAAGGGAGAAGAGGGGCGACTCCTCCTCAGTTGCCGCCGGTTCGGAGGATTTCGGTAGATCCTCCGCGTCCTCCACGGCACCGTCCAGTAAAAATAGGCATTTGGAGACGCGGTTGTGACTGCGAACGAATTTCTCGTTGTAGTTGTAGCAGAGGCCCAGCTGGCGGCGCTCTTCCTATTCGGCTGTGGACAGACACTTGATCGGCCGGCCCTCCACGGTGATGGTGTTCGAGGCAGGAAGATTGGCCCCCGGTGGTGCAGGCAGCGCCAGGCGTTGCGGAGGCACGGGCAGCAGTCCCCTTGTCGCTGCTCGCGGGGCCGGCGCCACATACTGTTCCCGTAACTCTAGCTTGCGGGCGAGGCTCATAGCGCTGGCGAGGGTTTGCGGATTATGGACCTCGACGTCGAGGCTAAGCGGCGGCTGAAGGCCCCCGGTGATGAGGACATCAACACCGATCATACATCCACGCCGTCCACGCCGACACCTGCTGGTCCTATTACTCGTGCTCGTGCTCGAAAACTTAATCATCAAGTGAGTTCCTTCTTGAGCTCTTGTCCATCCTGTTTAGATCTTGGAGACACGTGCACTCTTGTTTTGATTAGGAATCAAGGAGAAGACCGAAAGGAAAAGGACTCGCGTAGGCTGGATTCGGACTATAGCACACCTCCAAGCTGGCGGACGGTGCGCCACGGTTTATACTGAGTCGGATTGGGGTGATTCGGACT